ATTAGTGAACACTAATAACACCACAAAAATAAAATAAACTGAGAGCTATATGACCTTTAGATGTCCTCTAACTATTTTTCAAGGAACTATATAAACTAATGATGATGAGTATGATGATCATAAAAACAATAATTATTATTTATTATCAATATAAACATTATTATTATTATTATTATTGAATAATAATTTTCTAATTAACATGAAGAATAACGTCGTGTGCAAAGAAGTATAAAGGTTTCACTTCAATATGTTTCAAAACTGTTTTCGCTCAATAGTATAGTGTATCAAAACCCACAATGCACGATAACTTACAATATCTGACACCTTCTTTTTCTCTTCCTCCTTCTTCTTCTTCATAGCTTCTTTTATGTGCATTTCCATTGTCATTTCCTTACCCATATCATTGTTAGGAAATTCTAAATACAAAAAAGCACTTCATAAAATTAGAAATCTAGTTTTGCTATTATTTTTTTGTCCCTATTTCATTTCATTTTCATTCTTTATTTCGGAAATTGCATATCCATATCTATAATCGGTTTAATCATATAGTTATAACAACAAACAAAACTAAACTGTATTTTCTATCGCAATAGAAAAAAAAAAATAATAATAATACATATATATGAAAAATGAGTATTGCGTATATTATACTTATGCATACAAATACCACTTCCATCTGTTATACATTTTAGTGTTTAAAAACATACATTTGCAAACACATGCAACGAGAACATTGCTACTACTCAGCATACGCTGCATAAAGCTGTAAACTGATTTTCGCATGTATTCATTAAAAGATGGGACACCTTGGTCGACAAACATTATGCTAGCACTGCTGTTTCTAGGAACATTCAAAATTCGACGCAATGCATTGTTGTAGCATACATTAAGCGATCTAATGCTTTTTTTGACGGTAATCACGCCATAAAGCAGCACAATACAAATTGATACAATATGATCGAAAGAGACAGCATTTAACATCTTTAGAGCATTTCATAAATTTACGATTAAGAGAGACTGAGTTGCTTCTAATACACAGAGACATATACTGTCTTTGAATATCAGCCTCATCACAACTATCGCATGTAAGAATGTGACCAAGATAAGTGCCTTTCTCAACATACACAAGTTCTTTACCAAAAAGTTTCGTTATGGATTTACCTTCCAATTTACACGTACGGGGACAAAATCGCATACAGAACGATTTCTTGTCATTAAATAAAACATCATACTCACTAGCAAAATGTTCACAGACATGTACCAATTGCTGGAGTCCTGCAACCAAAGGAGCAAGCAAAACAAGATTGTCGGCGTAACTAAGATTATTTAATCTAATATTCGCACATTGACAACCCTGATTAAATGTGCTTAACTTGGAATTAAGGTTACCAATATAAATGTTGTATAGGAGAGGAGACATAACCCCGCCCTGTCTAACACCATTAGAAACTTTAAACGAGGTAGAGATAGAATTACCCCAACGTATCACAAACCTTTGGTTTTCATACCACGATTTAATTAGCACAACAACACAACGAATAGTACCATTCTCAATAAGCTCTTTATAAAGAGACCAGTGATTCACCCGATCAAAAGCTTTGCCGGTGTCGAGGAAACAAGCAAATACAGGGCTCCCGTTCCTATTAATAGTAGTCTATGATATGTTTTAGGACAAATATACATGTGTCAGTAGAATGCTTAGCTTTAAAAGCAAATTGATAATCACTAGATTCTAGTGTGTTACCACAGAGACTTATTAAAATCGATTCAAACACCTTAGATATTACAGATGCTAGTGCAATAGGCCTGTAATTATTGCTGCGAAGCAGCCAATTCATATTCTTGACAGCAATTTGACCTCTGAAAGGTCATTGTTTTTCAAAAAACAATTGCCTAAGACAACTGAAAAGCGGAGTTTCCTTCTTTCATTCTGCCGGGTAAAATCAATTACTTTAGGCGACGTTTGTAGACTAACCTACTCGTACCAACGTCAGCATGTCGCGACGCTGGAGTACTATTCAGCGTTTTTACTATATTTCTAGGTTTCCTATTTCTACGTTTAATCGGCTCATGTCTCAGCCACAATATTTTGAGGCCAATATTATTTACGAACCCAGTTAAACTTATTTACTAGCCTATTTTAACGTGCTAATTATTACATTTAGGCGACGCTTGTTGTAGACTGGCATAGTGTTTTCAGAAATAAATACCATTTTATACACATGCGCAGATCGTTTCGCCAGCAGCAAGTCATCGCCAGCAGAGAGATGTCACTGCAGCAAAACACTATTGTACACGGTACCAACGCTGTTCTAATAATATAGACAATGGGTCGTGCTCACATTATTTGTTATATTTTTATTATTCATTATTTTCACTTGACTCGCATAAACAATTTTGTTCGAAGAACATTTTATGCAGTTGTACTTCGCAGCACTTCACTTGCAATTTGCAATTTCTAGTTCTTATTAGTAATATCTCCTGATTTACTCTTAACTATCGGAACAAGAATTACTTTAACCAGATCTAAATTTACATGACCATGAATCAGCATAGAATTGAAGCATATACTCAATAGTACACTGAGTCGCTTACTAGCATACTTAAGATGTTCTCCGCCTAATTCATCAAAGCCAGGTGATTTCCCTATGGATAGTTTATTTATACAATTAAAAACAAAATCGGGGGTAACATTTATACCAATACTGCCCTGCATTAGGCATTAAGTACATTTTTTTCAAAATTGAGATTTTTAGCTTATGCGACTCTGGAATGTCTAATCTATCACCCTATTTTATCAAATTTCCAAAAATATGTCTGGAAATATGAAATTTTATTTTAAAATTGGGCATTATCTGCAAATTTTACTATAAATACTCTGAGAAAAGGCATTATGTGCGCGGAGCATTACATACATGCATTAAACGCTTGACTTCACGCAAGACAGATAGTAAGTAACCAATCAGATGCTAGTGTAACGAATATCTAATTAATTAGCTTGGAATCCTTAGCAAATAATGCCTAGTTAGTAACTGCTTTATTTCGAAGAATACTATTCAGAAAGTGCATTATCTGCTTTATTTTTTACGGCGTTTATATTATATAATTCTGTGATTAATGCAATACTTTTGCCGAAATGATGCAAGTTACAGCGCAAGACCTTTTTAGAAGTCTTTTGGAAGAGTAAGTACAATATTGTATTTTATTATGTTTCATACCTATTAAGTATTAAATTTAGATTATTATTATTATTTAGTAGTATTATTTTTTTTTATCAACATTGTATGTTTTGTATTGTGTTTATTATTTTTATTATTATTATTATTATTATTATTATTATTATCACTGTTATTGTTATCATCATTATTATTACTCTTTCAGGCAACCAAGTGGTGAACCAAATATGGACAGACACAATTTTCGCCACCGAGATCGTGCTCCACTTCGAGGAAGGGACATTGAGTAATGCAACTGTGAAAGAAAAAGTGTAAATAACTATTTAAAAAAATGTAAATGTCGGAGCATTGTAAATAAAAATTTTCAAATGTTTGTATAACCTATATATTGTATAATTATCATTGTAAAGATAGTTGCAATGTATATTATAACTTAATAAATATAAATTTATTAATCTTATATTTAAAATTAGCAAACCATTTTTATATATTTTTCTACGTGTTATTGTTAATTAACAAGTTATTATCAATAAACTTTGAATTTGAAATTATAATGCTTTGTCTATTTTATTATTATCAATAACGATTTAATTATTATGATAGGCCTATTCTAATTATCAATCGATAATGATGATGATTATGATGATGATGATGATGATGGTGTGGATGAT